GATATTGACCTCATCAATGACTTCTGGACAATTACATAAAAGTAGATCGAGTGTGTTCCCAGCTTTATGTGTAGGACTTTCTATAAATTGGGTTAGGAAGTTGTCCCCAACAAGGTCGCAAAAGACATCACCAATCGCTCGTTCTCCTTTGTTAATTGGAGCTGTGCTGTCAGTAGACCAATCTATCGCTGGGAGATTAAAATCACCAACTACAACACAACAACTGGACTCACTGGTGTTTTGGAGGGATGTGTTAAGATGTTGAAGGGGTTCCGTTGTTGAGTCAGGAGGACGATAGAAGGTATATAGTAAGACTGACTTTTTGTTGGGTTTAATCAATTCTATCACCACAAATTCAGCATCCTGCTTCTCGAGATCTAAGCGGCGAGTTGCTCTTATGTTCAACCTTGTAGCAACGAGAATACCACCTCCGACTCGTCCAACTCTGTCTTTTCGAAAGATGCAGTAGTCCTGCAAAAGTTCACTGTCCAATACGGTATTATTTAGCCAAGTTTCACACACACAAACCACATCATATATACCAGATTGTACCAGTTGTTGAAATAATGTGATCTTACAAACGTTGGTTTTGCTTTCATCAAGTGTCACAAATGCTTTTAGACTACGTGCATTTAGATATAGTACCTTTAAGCCGTTGTTGGTTTTAGCATGGCTTGAGACTGGACCAGGATTTGTAGCCACATCACCAGCAAGCAAGATAAGGAGGAATACGTGAGACGGTTTTCGGTCGTATTGTAGGTTTAATCCATAGCGATAATTCAGCGGGTAGTTAAATTTTCTCTGTTTAAAGTCACGGGTAGCAATCCAAATATAACACAGCTTTTGTGGTAAAATTGCAAGTTCTGGATTAACAATGACGCCGTTTAAGGTAGTTTTGATTTGAATAAAATTAGGTTTCAATTTTGAACACAACCAGAGAATTGTTAATATTGTTATAAAACACTTAACTCCGAAATTTATTTATTTTAATATAAATTAAAAATAATTAATTATAATTAATAATTAATTATAATTTATTAATTTTTTTTATTTTAAATGAATTTATTTTAATATAAATTTCGGTATTTATCAGTGGTGAAGCGGGCCATCTTTCCTTTCCTTTCACATTTTTTTTCTTGTTAATTATTAAAACTTGATTAAAACAATAAAGCGGCTATGTGATAACAACCGGACACATAAGTCATAATTATGCCAAAGGCTTTGACTGGTCTTGTAGTATTCGGCAGCACAGCTCAACCGAGCTCAACCTGACAAACAGTTTGCCGGTGGTGGTTTAATATATGCAGGGAAGCGATAAATACAATAAACTAAGGCATCAGCTTCGCCTGGTAGTATGATCGTCCTTAGTCGTGATTGTGATAGTGTTGATCACCTGTTGTTGGCTTCAAATCCAACATCAAATATCCATGAGCGACGATCGTGGCATCTTCATAACTCCCCATAAGCTCTTGCACTCGGGATTCACTTGTCTAGCAAGCATAGAAATTTGCTTTTCATTTCCGGGTGATTTGAACAGCACGATATAATAGGCGTTAAGGCTAATAATTCGCATCTCTTTGCCTCGGTGAAATATATTTTGGACAATGTACTGTAGGCAACGGACAAATTTCGGTGATGCTTCCTTTCGTGAAAAGATCAGCTATACGTTTGTTTTTGCCAGATTGTGCCGTCCAATACGATCAAATTCCGCTGAGATACGTCTAAGAAATTTGCTTTATCGATATCCTCTGGAATATCTTCATTAATCCCAGGAATCGTTCCATATCAAAATACGATTGTTACCATGCATTGACCATAACACCACATATACGATGGTCTGGAAGCCCGGCAAACTTCAAATGGTTGCACGTTTCATCTCAGCTATGCCAATTGGACGGTTACTTCATTATACAAAAATACAATGAGCTCAATCACCGTAACCGTGCACAAATTAACTTCTGTTCAGTTTCCAGACCATCATATCTTTATAAACTATGACCAGATGATGCGTTGACTTATAGTATTCTGTGAATTCTCCAAAAGAGTTTTCACCCACACAGTCTTACCACTTTAATATACACCCAGCTACGATGCAAGTAAATTATTCAAATATATTTATTGAGAACATTACATTATATAATTAATATTATATATAATTAATATTATGTATAATTAATATGAACTCAAATGGCATAAGCACAAACGAGACGCGAAGTCCCATGCAAGGTGCAAACCCCGAAGCAGCGAATACGTACATAGATATAAATACACACATACATAAAATACAAATATATAAAAGCCGCTTCCCCCTATTAGTATGACCATGAACACAACCACCTGAATGCTTCACGGATGTGTTAGCAAAATAATTTCAAACTCACAAGCATAATGAATGCTTCACGGATGTGTTAGCATAATAATTTCAAACTCACAAGCATAATGAATGCTTCACGGATGTGTTAGCAAAATAATTTCAAACTCACAAGCATAATGAATGCTTCACGGATGTGTTAGCATAATAATTTCAAACTCACAAGCATAATGTGGTTGCATTCAGTGAACACAATAAGAGGAACCGTCTATTAAAACTGCTTAAGATCTGTGGCAGGGGCAGTCCCGCACCAGTGTCCAGGTGCATGGCATGTCCACGTCAAATGTTGCCGTAACCAAGTTAGCGTAAGTGGCTTTAAGAGATCTTTTGAAGATGGAGAGGCTGGCAAAGGTGGTAGAGGGAAGAATTTTGCAGACGTGGTTCCATAACTTGACAAGCCGGTTGAAATATGAAGATTGAAATGTTTTGGATTTACAGAAAGGAATTTTGAGTGTGAGAGAAGGATTTCGACTAAGTCGCGTTCGGCCATTGTTGACAAATGAAACGAAACTATGCACGTCAAGATCAATATGTCCATACAGTGCCTTAAAAAAGAACACTAAGTCTTTTATTTCTCTCTCGTAGCACAGGGGTAATAAGCCAAGGGTTATCAGCCGCTGCTTATATGCAATTTCTCCGCGCTTGGCTTGCAGTATCCAAGAGGTGGCTCTCCTTTGTACACGTTCCACTGTGGATCTCATTTTGATGGTAGGAGGAGACCAGACTTCGGTGGCGTAACTTATCTGGGACTTCACGAGTGACAAATACAGCGTCCGCCTCACTGCGGTGTTAGTCAGTAGAGGGCAAGTTCTTTTCAGCATGCCAAGCATCTTGTTCCCTTTGGCAGTGATGGTATGAGCATGATCGTCCCATGAAAGGTTGTAATTTATGAAGACACCAAGATCTTTTTCCTTATTCACACGAGTAAGTTCCTTTGAGCCCATGTGATATGCGTACGTCAGCGGGGTTTTTTTCCTTGTAATTGTCAACACCTTACACTTCGACTCGTTAAAATTGAGGTTGTTGTCACGGCTCCAGCAGTCAAGGTCTGTTAAAGCTTGTTGCAAACTTTCACAGTCACCTACTGATGTGATGGACTTGTACAGTTTGGTGTCGTCTGCATACAATGCTAAATGGGTGTTGCATGACTGTAACTCCATCAACCGTAAGAGTTTGTTGCCCAAGATTACGATTTCCATATGCATGTAAAGCCTTCTTGTGACGGAGACGATTACTCGCATTTGACGTTTTAAAAGTAGTAAAATCATTTAAAGCAAGGGGGATGAGCCATATTTATTCCGGTGGCCACAGTTTGACTATGAGCTCGTGATAGTTTATGAGCTCGTTTTTGCACGACTTAGAGCGACTGCAAAAACAAGCGCTGAGGATCATTTAAACGGGCTACTCTTATAGGGAAGCCTTGGCACGTCTTGGGTGTTCCAGATTGGATGAATGGCGAGAACAACTTTGCCGCAATACTACGAAACGCATAGAAAAAGAAAGACCTCAGTCAAAATATGTTCCATTGACCAGGGCCAAATGATTACGAACTTGGAAACTCGAACACGTCAAGAACAATAAAATGTCGAACAGAAATGTTTCGCCGCAATTTTTTCCCAGGACAATTAGCTTTATGAAAAACAGTAAATGAAAGTTTCATTCTTCAAGTCTCAAGATTGATTTATGCAATTGAATCCCCTATCTGACCACCACCTAACCAGAAGCACTCACAATTACCCAAACATAACACCTAACCCTATAATACCACTCTTAAACTATGGTTTTGATAAAAACATTCTGAACTGAACAGGGAGGAGCAGTTCAGGGGAAGTTCTTTTTAATATACTGAGAGAATTTGGCCATTTCAAACTTAGTCTTACGCCCGTATTCTAAAAGCTCACTCACACTCACACTAAATGCGTGGAGATTCAATGTGAGCTTCTCTCGAGTGTCATTGCTGTTTTTGAATAGCTGGAGGGTTAGTGCATGTTGTACCTTACTATGTGACTACTCGGCCTCCAGCTATCCACACTCAATTAAGGGAAGCTCAGATTGAACCTCCACTCATTGAGTGTAAGTGAGCTTTTAAGGTCGAGACACACTGGATGCGATTCGACAACGCGGCCGAATGTAGCTATATATGTAGACCAAATAACTGAAAATGTTTTATATAATAACTACAGTGAAACACGCAATTTGATTGGTCAACAGCCGTGCAGGATCAGACAATCCTGCACGGGAAATTCTGAACAGAAATTCTTGCACATAATTTTACAAATATACTCGTATTGTAAAGTTTCATTGTACGATACCTTTCGACTTTGAAGTAAGTTTCCAATTATTGAGACGTTGGTTTAGTTGTATGAATAAATTTCTGATCGATACATTGCTATTCAGCAAGTAGCAACGCGTATAGCGTTGAAATTCATCAGACCATGGCATGTAAGTACAAAATCTCTCGCTTCAAAGTTGATCAAACGCTTCGCAATCTTCACATATTCAGCTGGAGAATCTTCAATATTACTTTGGCTCTCTGTTTAGCGGGTTTTCCATTTCAAATTTCGTATATCTTATCGAAAAAGTGCCTGTATTTTCGCTGTATATTTTCTCGAATTTGCGATCAAATTCTGTTCACATTTGTTGTTGTTTTCAATAGCCTGGAGTAGCGATTCTCTGATTGGTTAATTCACGAATGTTGTGAGAACTGCACATTTCATCAGTAATTTTAATCACGTTAAGCGTCGTTTCACTGTAATTTTATAAAACAATTACCAAATGGTTTTCCCATGCAGGATAGCATGATCCATGCACTTGGGATATTGCTCGACTTTCGGAAAGCGTAAAAATACACTCGCCTACGGCTCGTGTATTTTTACGCTTTCCGAAAGTCTCGCAACATCCCGCGTGCATGGATCACGCAATCCTGCACGGAAAACCATTCGGTATTCCTTTAATAATGCTTCTAAATATTTGGAAAATTTAAACCAGGATCAAAGTTATCGGTCAGTGTCGAATCGCGTCCGGTGTGTCTGGACCTATAGAATACGGGTGTTAAGCTCATAAAAGAATGTGGTTAGGTCAATAGAGGTTTCTCTTTACCCCGGCTGTGATTTAAGGGTTAGAGACTGATGTGAGTGTTGTGTTTACAGATACATGCACGAGCTGACTGTACAATGAACGAGAAATTTTCAATACTGAACGAGGCGAAGCCGAGTGCAGTATTGAAAATTTCGAGTTCATTGTACAGTCAGCAAGTGCATGCATTTGTAAACAAAACACGAACTTAAAGTCTCTAACCCATTTAATATATTATCTGAGTTCACTGCTTGCATGCAATTACTGTACGCCTTTTGTAAACAAAACAAAACAAAACAAAATTAAATTAAATTAAAACAAAGCACAATTCCACTTTGGAAAAGAACATTTATTAACACATTTTCATCATAAGTTTTTACCAATAGTCTAATTTTAAGTACATTGCAAAATAATTGCGTACAACTGTTTTTAAAACAAGACAGCGAATACAATGAAAAACCCGACTAGACTTTTTAAGCAGGAATTTTACACGCGACAAAATCGTGAAAAGTCAGTTTTTGCTTCGTTTATTTACCTTGAAAGATGACAATGCACCAGTTTGTTTGGCTTTTTATACTTTTAGACATTGCATTATCTACAATTTGATTAATTTCGTCTTCACTGACTCGTGTAAACCTTGAACCGACAGCCTTGCGGGAAGCCATTTTCAATAATGCACGTTTTTTATGCGTTATTGCCAATAATGCACTCGCAGAATTCGTTGTTGCCAGGTAACAAAAACACACGTGATCGATTTTGACCAATGGCGTGCGTGTATTTTGTACAGTGAACGAAGATTATATATTAAATTATAAATATTGAAGCACGAATCAAGATGGTGGACTGCACGCTATTATTCAAACTTACCCGTCACTGAATTTTATTCCATCCAGGTACAGAGCACTTTGACTGTAAGCCAAAATTAGAGCATTTAAAGCGAGAATTTTGAACATCTGTAATGTGGTGACCAACGTACATCTTCCTTGTTTTATAATGTGGCATACTGCAATGATAAATCAGAAAACAGTTTAAAAACAATTTTTTTTATCACGACACTTTGGTAATTGGTATATAAAAGGGCGTGTGAATTGAACAAGCCACATATTATTAGCACTGATGAAGATCCGGGCTTACGGATCGAAAGCTTTGCAGTAATAAATTAACGTGGTGTTTCCGCAAACAATAGTATTATATGTTTTATCGCCATGCAAACCATAGTTTATAGACTATAAACTGTGTGCAAACCTACAAAGAACTTAATTTTTTTTCTGTCTATCATTTAATGCGCATGACCAACTAATAACGGGGTCATTAATAAGAAAATAGCATCTACAGCAAAATAAGATTATCCATTAACATATTTGCAGTCTTTCAAAAAAGCCTTCCTTAAAAGGTTTTACATGCAGCCCAGGTGACAAAGGTCTCCGAGTATTAGTTAGTTAGTTATGGTTAATGTCCAAGGGTTAGTTTTTGTTAAGGTAAGAAAACAGGACGCTAATCACACGGGTAAAACGCTAATCACACGGGTAAAAATCTTCAGACAAATTTGAACATGTCCAAAAAAGTGCTGTGCGCATAATCTATCATTTGTCCGATTTTTATGAAGAATCTGCTCTGTCTTAACCAATGATTTTAGAAAGTTTTCTCATTTTATAAATTAGATGGCTAATCATGGCTTCTGTATTTCCCATTGCTTGCTTGCTTGCTTACTTACTTACTTAAAAATTTATTTAACCACGCTGGCCATAGACAACATATTTGTAAAATACAATGAGTTGATTTTCAGATGGGGCGTGTTTTACTTACAAACTATCTCAACTCACATCCTAGTCTCTGGGTCTCTGGTATAGTGGACAAACTGAGTTTAAATTGGTAAAGCGAGGATGCCTTTTTCGCCTCAGAAGGAAAACTATTCCACAGCATTGCACCATGGGCTTTCAATTGCGAGTTCGCCGAAATCCTGTTCCATCAAAGCATGGACGAACTGCGTGAACGTAGTAGGCGATGGGGCAGGAATCAGGATTTCATCAAAACACCAGCGGGTAAATTTGTTAAAGTTTTTTTGTTTAATAAAGCTAATGCACATCATTTTTAGTGTATGACTACTTTCGAAGACAACACTATTTTTAATCCCGTATTTGTAAACATTCACATAGCGCGCGAAGCATCACGGTTGACTTTGATTCTTTAAGGAGAATATTTAAGTCTGTATTAGTATTCTTGTTGGAACAACTTGTACGAAGTCTGTTACTGTCTTCAACCTTGTAACAGGTGCTAACAACTTGTTCCATACTTGACACACCAACTGGGAACAAGCAGTGCAAACACATTCCAAAATCGGCATGACATGAACAACCTTGTTACAACTTGTTTTCAGATCTGTAACAACTTCCGCATTGTTATGTGTGCACATGTGTTCAAGTACAGATAAATCACCCAACCTAAGTAAAATATCTGCCCCCAATACGTCGTTGCACACTAGTTACCCACCCAGCACAATCGTTGAAAACCTTTGAAAGAAGCAAACTTTTCAAACAATAATAAGCAAGCACAGTGTGTACTCACCGCTATTTATAGAAGAATGTTTAGAAGTGAAAGGTGACGCAATTGAAGCATCTCCCAAACGAACGACTTTTGATTCTTCCATCTCATCCAGAGCCTTCAACATTTCTTGAAGTTTTTTCTAAAATGAAAATTGATAATATCCATCCATCACCAATACAGCATAATTAGTCGTTGAGACAAATTAAGTAAATTCCAGATTCAAAATTGAAAACCCAGCTAATCTCATATACATAATTATAAATAAATTAAGCGTCTTGTTTAATTAGACCAGACGATGTTTTCGCAGCCCGCTCTTCATAAACTTAGGACACCGGCATGGCTCCGCTAGAGCGCAAAACTGGCCGTTACAAGTCTTCCAAGGTCGGTGGTAGGCAGGGGTGAAAAAAATATCGAATCACAGGACCATTGGTCCCAGAAAATTTTTTGAGTTCCCAGAAAATATTTCCCCAAGAATAAGAAAAATATAATTGTAAAAATTTAGATAAAAGGATAAATTCAGAGGGAAAACTCAAACCAATAGAACGAATGCTACCTGTACTGCAGGTATGACCTCAGAAATTAAATTACATTACATATTCCCCGTGCAAATACATTAACATTTCAAAACAGTTTTTATTGCAGATCTTCCAGGACATTTAACTGTTTACCATCAGTTTTACGTCAATCAAATCTCTCTATTAATCAATTTAAATGTAATCTCTTTAATCACTATCAGAAAATGTCTGAAGAAATTTATGACATTGGTGTGCCACAAACTTTCAAAACAATCTGTGTTAAATGTCATTTATGTCGTCCCTTGTCTAGTCTCTCTGTTAAATCGTGTTGTTAATAATTATCACTGTATTGGGTTGTAGTAAAGTTGTAGACAATAATCTCTGCGACCGCCTTTTGGACGATGTTTATTTACGTTTTGTTAGAGCATGCGCATAGGAGCTAATATGGCGTGCGAAGGAAAACAGTGTTTTACCTAAATCTATTATTTTGTAATTTTCTATATTTTGATAATTAAAGTGAGTTGAAACCTGTTTTTCGCCTCATTTACTGGCAATCCCAGTACAGTAAAACACTAACGTTTGCTGTGGCATTCCAGAATTGTGAAGAAGCCTAAATACAAAGGAGTTTTGCAGCCCAAAACTTGTGTATTGCTTGAAGACAAATCCAGGAATCAGCCATGAATGTTGAAGATAAAAAACAAGAAAGAAGCAAGGCTAAAATGGCGGTCACTGTCGCTGCGAGGCTTTCGCGAAGTACCTGCCTCCCCGGTATGTATCTGCGAAAAAGTCACTCAACTCACAATAAAAATCACTGAAAACTCAGAATATAAAAAATATATTGATAAAACTCTCGTTGTTGTTTTCCCGCTACATACATAATTAGTATTCCATGTGCTCGCGTGTAGCACACGCGAGATGTCCACGTAATTCCGTTCAGTTCCCACACACTCCCCTGTATACACTCTGTAAGAGGTGTATACACTAACACAACACAAAATGTTAAATTTAGAATAATTGTCAATATCACTGTACGTTACTTTTTCTTTCTCCTACTCATCATCCGCTGCTTCGATCTGTTCAATACGGAGTTTTGCTGCAGTCGCCGCGTCTCGCCGAGGGCGTGGCTCGAATTCTACCGCATCCGGGTTCAGGATTGGCACTTCCGGTACGATATCACAGCTCAGTTCTAACGGAAAAAGCAGCTGCACGGCTCTTTCCAAGGTTCCGTTTGGAGTCTTCAGACGTACTCCCCGTATCACGTTATCCTTTCCAGGATAGGTTTCTTCTATGATTCCTAGAGGCCACGTACCTCGATTCTTGCTCTCGGTCTGTATCAACACAACGTCTCCAGGCTTAGGTTGGAACTTGCTTCTCTTGTGGGTCATGTTGTGTCTTTCCCGTAAGGCTACCAGGTATTCTTTTCTCCAACGCCGCCACAGCTTGTTCTTACATTCGATTAGATATTTTGCTCGTTTTCTCAGTTCTCGTTCTTCGATTCGCCATGGTTCTTCCATAGGGAGTTGGCACGTGCGTTGATGGAGAAACGTAGCTGGGGTGAGGGTTGGTAACTGGATGTCGTCCTCAACGTACGACAGTGGTCGGCGGTTGATTTGAATTTCAACGTCGAGCAGAACCTCACTTAGTTCGTCCCAAGTGAGATGACCTCCCCCGATCACCTTGTACATAGCTGACTTGACTACCCCGATGAGGCGCTCGAATTGGCCGCCCCACCAGGGTGCACGACTCAGGTTAAATTTCCATTTAATATCGTACTCTTCCGCGAAGCCTCATAGACTCTCGTCTTTCCGTAACTGTTCCAGCCATTTGCTGGCTTTGACGAACGCGCCGCCATTATCGGAATAAACTACGCGTGGTCGTCCTCGCCGAGCGATAAATCGTTTCAAAGACACGATGAAGGTACTGGTTTCAAGGTTCCGCAACAGTTCTAAGTGAACAGCTCTCGACAAGCTCCAAGCAAATATCACGAGGTAGGACTTCCCTTCTGCTTTGGAGGATTTCCGGAACTTCATTGGCCCAGCAAAATCGACTCTGATCACCTCAAACGCTGCACCAGGTGTGGTTCTGTCCTCTGGTAGTTGCCCAGCCACTGGAGTTGTAAAGGAAGTAAGGCGAAATCTCTTGCATCCCCAACATCGACTGCGTATCATTTTCACGAGGCTTCGAAGGCGAGGGATCCAGAATGTTTCTCGCACCGCCGCCATCGTAAGTCCGACACCGCCATGTAGCGTTTCGCAGTGAACACGTTGCACCAGCTTTTCTGTAAATACCGCGTTCCGTGGTAAATAGATAGGGTGGATTCCTTGCATTCTTCCGATACATACTATAATTCCTCGATCGTTCGTCTCAAGACCAAGTTGCGCGCTGGTTTCCTTATAATGTTGTTCGACCGTGTCTCGGAGTTGAACGCGTCTGATCCACCAATACTTTGCCGTCTCAATCTCTTCCGTATCCAAAGGTCCTGATCTCTTTTCTTTAGCACGGCAGTTGTGAATAAATTGGTTTATCCACGCAGACACTCTCAGTACTCGACGCAGCGTGTTTCTTTCGAGAAGTTTGTCTAACTCGTCTGTTGTTTCGGTGGATTTGGCTATGTAAACGAGGTCTCGACTAATCTTGTTTTCAGCTGCCGATTCGTGTGATGATTTTGTGACCGGATTATCTGGCCATTTTGCTGGATCACTGAGCCATTCTGGGCCCGACTGCCACAGTGATGAAGATATGGGACCGCCTCTGCTAGCAATGTCCGCGGGGTTGTCCTTTGTTGGAACATGTCGCCACTGAATTGATGGGTGAGCCTGGATCTTCGCAACACGATTGGCGACGAATTGCTTGTAGGCCCCATTACCAACTATCCAGTGCAGAGCCACTGTGCTGTCAAGCCATGCGAACATCAACGGTTGCGGTTCTTTTGGTAGGGCGTCACGAACATTCACTAGAAGATTTGTCGCCATGTGAGCCCCGACCAGTTCCAGACGTGGAACCGACAAATTTCTTTTTGCTAGCTTTGCGACTCTTTGCTGCCACCAACTGCTGTGTAGTTCCCGACTGCTGTATCAATACGTCCCAAAGCTTATTCTGGAGGGGTGGGCCAGGGTATAGACATTCATTTAGGGAAGGTGATGATGGGTCTTCTTTCGCTGAAGCGTCGTAGACGACTCGCAATTTAGTTGTCTCTGATGACTCCTTGACCACGCCCTTATGAGGGATGTAGAACTCTTTATCAGTGACCGTTGTAGGTGCCTCTTCCACAATGCCTTCTTGGAGTTGTGCTCGAATAACCGCGTCGTATTCTTCGATGTGCCCATCTCGCTTCAACTTCTTTGTCAGACTACTCAGACGACGGAGACTTCCGTGTTTGTTGGTCGGCAGATGGGGATGATTGCTCCGCCAGGGCAGTCCTGTCTCGTACCATCCTTCACTAGCTGATCGTTGTAATTGTTCCTTGAACTCTGCATGCACTATGTCCTGATCGTGTTCTGTAGAATCTTTGAGCCCCAACACATCAAGACGACACAGTTCCTCATAATCTACATGGCTGGTCTGGGTAAGAAACATGGTTTGCCGGTCGATTTCATTTCCGGGCGACATGATAAACCATCCCAGTTTGGTGTATTCAGCAACAGGTTCTCCAGCTTCACCTACCACTGGTGGTTGGTTGGTCTTAATTCTCGCATAGTCGCCCACGCTTAGAATAACATGAATCGGTAATTGGTCTTTCTTGTCGTTGTCGGTCAAGTTGACTTGTGCTAGATGGGGGTACTTGGCTTTAACGTGTTCGTACTGTGGATTTTCTATCGACAACAGTTCGTTCTTGTCAACTTTTGTGAGCTTTGCATCCATTTTGAAGGAGTTGTCAAGGGATTGAACAATAACATCATACGTTTCCATTCTCGTAAGGTGAGAGCCCATTAACATCTCGATACGTTTGGTTGAAGCTTCCGAGGGTTTCTTGTTCAGCAAATCTCCGACTTTAGCTGAGATATAAGAGCTGCCGGCTCCTGTATCGATCAGTGCTCTCGTTATGATTCCGTGGGAAAACTCCCAAATTCAAAACCACTGGGAAAACTCCTTCCCCCACTCCACTTGGTGTTAATACCACTTTCTTGATCTCTGCCGGTTGAGTTTTGTCACATATTGATGTATGATGTCTCCTATGACAAGTTTGGCATGATGTTTTGCTTTGGCATTGTGCGGCCCGATGAGTCCCAACCGCACAGTTGAAACACAATCGCTTCTTCGCCAAAATCTGTTTCCGGTCAGCTACGGCAGTAACTTTAGTGCATTCAACAGCTTTGTGCTCACTACTGTCGCAGTAGATGCACCCTCGAGATTTGTCAGTTCGATTGGTGAGGTACATTCTCTCTCATTCTCGACGCTTCTTCGTTTAATCTTCATCTCGACTATGATCAACTGGGTTTCTTCGTATCCAAAGACGCACTGCTTCTGCTAGCTGATCAAGATTCCATGTCTCCCAATCACTGTCAGATCTTACAAGATCACCCCGTATACCTGGCAACTTTTCAATGGTAACCATAGTAAGACCCTTCACTTCGTCCAGCTTCTTGAGCGACTGCAGGGACTGGACACAATATGTCAGTTTGTCACTAAACTCGGCAATTTTCTTGGAATTCGCTGTCGAAATGTATGGTAAGCTCAAAATTTCTTTCACATAAGACTTCGCTAACTCTGATTCTTTGCCATATTTTTCCTCCAATATAGCCTTTGCTCAATTGTAGCCTTCCGATGTAAATGGTAAGGACTCAACTTCACGTCTGACATTGTCTCAAATAAGTTCTCTCAGATGAAAATTTGGCAATGTTTGCTAAACCAGATTTTTCAATCGATTCGGTTAATTGACCCCAAAACCGTTGCCAATCCATGTAATTTCGTCAAATTTTGATATTACGAGTTTCGGTAGTTTTGCTTCCACTTGCTTCGCATGAATTTCCTTCGACGAACTTCCACTTTCCAACTTCGCTTGATGTTCGGACTCGAGTTTTAGTCTAGTTTCGTGTAGTTTTATCTCGTATTTCAATTTCTCTTCGAAAGCATTTCTCTCCTTTCCCAGTTTGCAATCGTCTTGCCATTTCTCAAAGCGCTTCACATCGTCGTCTGCTTTCTCTAGCTCAGTCTCTACTTGAGAATTCCACGTAGCGACTACGTCCTCGTTCACTTTTTGCTCGATTTTCAACGCTTCTAGGCCTCGTCTCGATGTTTCTACCTCGGTTGTTAACGCTTTTAAAGCTTCCAGTTGTCGTTTAATCGCAGTATCTTTATTAGAATCGAGCACCGAATCAGTTCGCTTGCACGTCATCAGAAGTTGTTTTAATAATTTAACGGCGAACGTCGACATCGCGTTGGCGTCTGCCATTCGTAAACAATCGCGTTTAAAATCACCGAAAAATCGCCGAATATAACAACAATATCACTAAATCCCGTCTCGGAGGTGCCAGGTTTCGCAAAGTACCTGCCTCGCCGGTATGTATCTGCGAAAAAGTCACTCAACTCACAATAAAAATCGCTAAAAATCTTAGAATATAAAAAATATACTGATAAGCTCTCGCTGTTGTTTTCCCGCTACATACATAATTAGTATTCCATGTGCTCGCGTGTAGCACACGCGAGATGTCCACGCAATTAACTGTTCAGTTCCGACAATATTTTATATTTTATATTTATATAATTTATCATCAATAAATAAAAAAATGAACATATTTCTCCACGAACAATGAACTGAATGCGAAGTTCCGTTAAATGCAATGAAATTTCTTTCAAGGTTCTATTTGTTTGAAATTGGCAGTTTAAAATGGCACTAAAAACCCAATTTTAGATATAAAAAACTTAACTGTCGTGAAATATTTTGTCGGGCGCTTCATTTATATTGTATAACAACATATAAAAAAATTTTACGCGGCTCTTGAAATACAGTCGGGCGGTGATGAGAATCAAGGAATT